TGTTAAGGCAAGCATGGAAAAGTACCATAGGCCATCGACGGTAGAGGTGCCGCGAGACGTCTCGTCTCGAAGCCATTTTGTTTCGTCTCGAGAGCATTTTGTCTCGAATTTCGAGACGAGACGAGATAAAATCCTTCGAGACAAGGCGAGACGAGACGAGACATCTCGAAATATTTTAATGACTTAATACGCTTTAAACGAATGATAATAACAGCAAAGTTTTAAAAATTGTTTTAAACTTCAGAATTAGCAAAAACAGCATTATAGGGTATGAGCTGGTAATACGTGCATATAAGGAGGACTTTCGTGGTCCTGCTCTATGTGCAATGAAATGGGCAATGATATTAACAGCTTAAAAGCCATCATTATTAGTTTAAAAGATGACATACAAGAACTAAAAACTCAAGCCTTACCTACGTCTAATAATTTTAGATTTGAAGAAATTATACAAGAGATTAACGAGCGTGAAAAAAGAAAATCCAATATTATTGTATATAATTTACCAGAAAGCTTAGCTAGTTCTACCTCGGATAAATTAATTGAAGATAAGTCAGTTGTGGAAAATGTTTTTAAGGCGCTTTCTTCAAGTACCAATGTTGAAAACCTGAATATCTTTCGGTTAGGTAAGCAGAACCCCAACGGTCGTTCCCGTCCCATCAAAATTGAAATGAAGGATGTTAACCTTGTTCAAGATATAATTAAAAAGGCAAGAAACCTTAAAAATTCTGAATTTAAAAACATTAGCATTTCATTAGACCGTACAAAACGCCAAAATGACTATTATAGAGAAATAAAAATACAACTGGATAATAGAATTGAAGCTGGGGAATCGAATTTAAGAATAAGGGTATAGAAATGGTTTACCCACGATTATGCATAAGGAAAACTAAAAAGGCCCAACGAATCCATCAACATATACTACCAAAATGTGCGCGGATTACGATCAAAAGTGGATGAAGTTTATTCATTTATTTCTGAACAAAACTTTGACTGTATAGCCTTGGTGGAAACATGGTTAAACCGAGATATTAATAGTTGTGAATATTTCTCTGATATGTATACTGTGTTTCGTTCTGACAGAGACTATGCCAGAACCGGAACTTCTCGGGGTGGAGGAGTGCTTCTAGCTTTTAATCCTTCATTTAATGTTAATTTGATAAGCTTCGCAGAGTTAGACTCAATTACTCCATTAATTGATATAGTTTGTTGTAAATTAGATCTTAAGCACACACTGTATTATATCTTTGCAATTTATATTCCCCCTCAGACAAGTAACATGGATGTAGAATACTTTCTTGAAATATTTGAATCATCATTAATTAATTTAAAAAACATAATTATTATAGGAGACTTTAATGTTCCTAACTTTATTCAACATAACCTTGGCGATTACAAAACCCGTATTTTACAAAACTTTTTAGATTTCAATTCTTTCTGTCAATATAATAATATTGTAAATGATTATGGCAATATTCTCGATTTGTGTCTGTCGGATCTTAAATGTTGTGTTCTTAAGGAAACTCTACCCATGGTTGCTGAGGACAAATATCATCCATCTCTTTTAATAAATATTAATACAAATTTTGATAAACATTACAACTTTTCAAACAACTCTAACAACAAGAATTATAATTTTAAAAAAGCTAATTTAGTTGGACTGTATGATGCTTTGTTAAAGACTGATTGGAATTTTCTTAATAATTACAATGATGTTAACGTTGCTTGTGAATCTTTTTATACTCAGCTGTATTTAATTTTTGACCAATTTGTACCTAAATTTAAAAAATCTAAACGCAAATATCCAATATGGTACACTGTTGAGATAATTAACAATATAAAGATTAAAGAACAACACCACTTAAATTTTAAAAAACATAACAATGAACAATCTTTAAATGAGTTTAAACGAATAAGAAAAATTTTAAAATCTCAAATTTGTAACGCTTACAAAAACTACATTCAGCAGACTGAGGACAACATCACATTGGAACCTAACAAGTTCTGGTCATTTATACGTGAAAAACGGGGTAAATCTCGAATACCAGCCAATATCTTTTTTAATGATATTCATTATGATAGTCCCCAAGATGTTGTCAATGGATTTGCTGATTACTTTGGTAGTGTTTATTCTGATGGTGATGAAAATTTTAGTATAAATTCTGAGTTTTCACTTAATCCCAACATAAATATTAAATCATTTTCTGAGCAGCTTATATTAAACAGTATATCCAAACTAAAAAACAATCATTCAAGTGGTTATGATCAAATACCAAACTTTTTAATTAAAGATTGCTCTTTAATATTTGCATATCCACTGCTAATTTTGTTTAATATGATTTTGTCAACTTCCACCTTTCCTGATTTATGGAAAATAACTAGAATCTGTCCAATTTTGAAATCAGGCAATCCTTGTGACGTTAAAAACTATAGACCAATAGCGATTCTATCTAATCTTGCGAAGGTCTTTGAATCATCTGTGTATAGTTGCATCTACAACGGAGTTAATAAACTCATTTCCACGCAACAACACGGATTTATGAATAAACGCTCGACTGTAACAAATCTTATTGAATTCACGCAATTTGTATCTACACAACTGGATAAAAAACTTCAGGTGGATGTGATTTACACAGATTTTTCAAAGGCTTTCGACAGGGTAGATCATAATGTTTTGCTCAATAAGTTGTCATATTTTGGTTTAAATAATTCTCTCATAAATCTGTTTCAATCCTACTTGTGTCAGCGCAAACTATTTGTTTTCTATAATGGGTATTTTTCTAGTTATTTTTATGCCACTAGTGGAGTGCCACAAGGCTCTAATCTGGGACCTCTTTTGTTCATTTTATTTATAAATGACTTGACATTTTATTTATAAATGACTTGTCACTGAAACTTAATTGTAATCATTTATTTTTTGCTGACGATTTGAAAATATTTACCAGTATCTCTGATACTACTGATTGCGACCTTTTTCAACAACAATTGAATATTATTCTTAGATGGTGTGAAGTTAACAAACTCGATCTTAATGTATCTAAATGTAAAATCTGTAGTTACAGTCTTAAAAATACGCCCATTATATTTAATTACACATTAAATAATACCATCCTTTTACGCTGTCATGAAATTCGTGACCTTGGTGTATTTTTTGACAATAGGCTCTCATTTACAACTCATGTCAATAACACTGTTAAATCTGCTTTAAAGCTGTTAGGATTTATAAGTCGAAATTCTGTTAGTTTTTCTAACATCCAAGCTCTAAAATCACTGTTTTATTATCTCATTAGAACAAAACTTGAATATTGCTCTCTCATCTGGTATCCGCATTACAATGTACATATTGACTCTATCGAAAAGATACAAAGAAGATTTTTAAAACTGCTTTCCTACAGAATTGATCACGTCTATCCCGCTAGAGGATATGATCATAATATCCTATTATCTAGATTTAACTTTGAAACTCTTTTAGTTAGGCGCAAAGTTATAAGTTTAAAATTTTTGTGGAAACTTTTTAATAATCAGATTGACTCTAGTCACATTTTAGGTTTTTTTAATATTTTAATACCCCGCTTAGGAGCTCGAAATATGAAACTATTTTATTGTAGTTTTTCGAGAACAAACGTGCATTTGAAATCTCCAGTACAAGTAATGTGCAATAACTTTAATTCTATTATATGTGGTAACTGTGATTTGTTTAATTCAAGCATTAGGGAAATAGTTTCAAGTGTACGTGAACAATGATATATGTATGTATGTATTTGTTTATATGTGTATACGGGTATATATATATATATATGTATATATATATATTTTCTATTGTTATAATATTGTTTAATTTTCTTTATTTTTTCCTTATTGTTAAGCTTAGGCATATTAAATATTACTAATGTTGTTATAAATACATATTTTGTCCTGTAATTGGAATATTGTATTCTGTTGGGCAATAAATTATTATTATTATTATTATTATTATATAAATTGTTAAAATAAAACTTATAATAAAATATAAAACCTTTATTTAAAAACTGTATGGTGTTTTCGAGGACATACATACATACCTTATAGAAAATAAACAGTAAAAAAGAAACCAAATAAATGTATTTTATAATAAACAAAATAAATCAATAAACTGAAAATAAATATTAAATATATCATTAACATTGTTAGTGCAAATATCACATTACAGGTAAAAAGTAATAGGTAACTAAAAAAAATCCTAAATCATTAAAAAATATTTAGGTATTACAGCATATGGTAAGTATAGGAATAGGTAAGTTTTACTAATCAAAGTTTAGCTTATCTTTTAACGTACAAGTGTACCATGAATTAAGACATAATAATGAACGAGCCGACTCAGCATTAACTCGATTCCGAAGTTTAGTGACTACTAATCCAGCTTTTGAAAAAAGGCGTTCTGGAGGAACGCTTGTTGCGGTAATACTTAATAGGTCTCTTGCCATCTAAAATGTGTGGATAATTTACTTCATACCTTATAGAAAATAAACAGTAAAAAAGAAACCAAATAAATGTATTTTATAATAAACAAAATAAATCAATAAACTGAAAATAAATATTAAATATCACTAACATTGTTAGTGCGAATATCACATTACAGGTAAAAAGTAATAGGTAACTAAAAAAATCCTAAATCTTTAAAAATATTTAGGTATTACTGCATATGGTAAGTATAGGAATAGGTAAGTTTTACTAATCAAAGTTTAGCTTATCTTTTAACGTACAAGTGTACCATGAATTAAGACATAATAATGAACGAGCCGACTCAGCATTAAGTCGATTCCGAAGTTTAGTGACTACTAATACAGCTTTTAAAAAAAAGCGTTCTGGAGAAACGCTTGTTGCGGTAATACTTCATAGGTCTCTTGCCATCTAAAATGTGTGGATAATTTACTTCATTTCTTTTCCACCATTCCAACAATATTTCCCCTTTTGATGCTCTCTCTGAATAAAAGTATGCGTTTAGTTCTTGTTTCCAAAACTCTTCAGTTTCGGATTGAGGAGTAGCCTTTTTGAATATCCATGTCTTCATCTAAACCAGATTGTTCTTCAGTTTCTTGTTTAGGTGGAATTGGCCTAGTCGGTGCGTATTTTTCACAATAAATTGTTTCAAATTTTTGGTATGATTTATTTTTCATTTCTGCACCCCAGAAAGTCATTGAAAAGGTTTCCAATTTGTGACGTGGATCTATTAAGAGTGAGGCGAATAACTGCGTTATCATGTTATCCCACTTTTAAGAGCTTATATTTTTTTGTTTTTTGAGTAAGACATTTTTTATTGGATTTATCCGATAATTCAAAATTAAATTGAGATAAACCAAAAAACCAAAACAATTCGAGACAAACGTCTCGACCTTGTCTCGTCTCGTCTCGAAAAATGTTATCTCGTATTTTCAAGACGAGACGAGACAAGGCCTTATCTCGTCTCGTCTCACGGTAACTCTAATCAACGGGTCCTTCTGGAAATTGCACATTTCTCGTCCAATGCATCAACGCCTGCTTTGGTACTATTGTAAAACAGAATGATGTCAGGCTTGTTTTTGATATTCTCATCCACTTTATTGTCATGATGCATAGTTGACCCTAGAATAACTGCTTTTCCTTGTTTAGGGACATATGACACTATGGTGGCCTGTGCTGTACTCACGTAGGTGAATCCAAATTTTTGAAGCTCTTCCAATAACCAGCAGTAATATTGCGATTAGTATTTTTTATAGGCTCTATCAAGCGAAGCACGACTTGTGATGGATGAGATATTTTCTTTTTATCTGGCTTCGATGTTTTTACAAAATTGATTTCCTTTCCTGCGTATACCTCTGCATTGACCATGTAGTGAGTCTCTGAATCAGCTAAAATCTGGACCTTCAATCCATATTTGGCAGGTTTGTTTGGGATATACATCCGAAAAGAGCATCGACCCCTAAATGGCACCAACATCTCGTTAATTGTGCAGTGTGGTCCTGGGCTGTAATTATTTTTTAAGTGCTCCACAAATTTTCAAAAGCTGCAAGTTTGCTATTTTTCATCCGGTCTTTTCTAGTAGAGGCATCATCAAATCGCAAGCAAAAGTAAAAAGGAAAATCGTGCAAGTGACATTGCACATCTAAAAATATCTCTGCCAGTGCCGTCCGTAGCCCATAATGATCTAAGATCCTCGTGGTTTGATTTGAAAAGTCCCTGGAGATATAAAAGTCCGACAAAGGCATCTGTGTTCTTGATAAAAGTAGGTAGAAATGTTTTTCGGCAATTTTTCCTCACACTAAACTTTTTATAGCGTTGTTTCAAAATATCAATTTTTTCATTTGTGTGGCGAATTATCTCTATCATGTCCTCCTTAATAAGGAAGTTCCGTGCTTCAAGTGGAGTTTTGGGCGGGCTTACTTTGGATCCCCGTTGAACGGTAATAATATTATTTCGTGGGGTTTTGGTGCGTAATGAAGGTATTTTAGCCCATTTGTAAGAATTTTTTTGCCATAGTAATATTTACTTCCTAATTGATCTTTACCAACATTCATTGTCTGAGCCTCGTCTTCCGATCCATCTTCTTCTATATCGCTGGTCTGTTTTTTTGCACTCAGAGGTTTCTCATCGTCCGAAGACCAACCATCATCACTCATACTACTAACTGAGTCATGGTCACTGAACATTTCATTGTCCTCCTCGTCGAAATCACTTTGTTCAGCGCTGTTCAAAATTTGCCTTAGTCCATCGATTCTATCATCCGCAATTGCAGTAGCTCGAACTTCATCAGTACGTCCTTCTCGGTCATCGGATTCCTCCCAAAATTCATCATTGTTCACTATTTCCATCAACTCTGCATCTGTTGGCGGTCTGTTATTCAACTTATTACCCATTGCTATCTGTAAATAATGACGGGCTTTATAACCAATAGCAATATTTCATATTTGTGGAAAAAACTATAAAAACATAATTGCTACTTACCGAAATATGTCGTTCAGAAAAGTGGCACTATTGCTACTATTGGGTCCACAGGACCCGAACTCGCAAAAAATCGTAAATAAAAAATGGATAAGTCTACGCACCATAGTGTCGTCGACCGCTCAGTACCCCCCTCCCCAAATTCTTCAAAATATTTGAAAATATATAAACGCCTGGGTCCCAGGGACCCTGGTAGTAGTACTTACGGGTTATAGATCTGACAAATGGAATCCATGATCTAATTACCAAAAAAACCATTGTGTTTTTTCCAAAGAGAATTATTTTTATTTTTTTACAAGTTTTTTTATTAATTTGTTTTGGATGGGCTATTCCAAGCATGCGGACGGGACAAATAACAAAATTATTTTTATAAAAGCAGTTGTAGTTAATTTATGGTACAATTATATTGGCATTAAAAATGACAAATATATTCTTCTTTTATTAGGCTATACATTAAATAAAAGAAACGCAAGCAATATTTTAGAAGAGATAATTTTATTATTGGACCAATGTGTACAAAAGAAGAGAATTTGTTTCTTGTTCCTGTCCAAAACTGTAAATTATTAAAATTATCTCTTCTTTTTAAAAATACTGCTTGCGTTTCTTTTATTTAATGTATAGCCTAATAAAAGAATATATTTGGTAATTTTGATGATCGAAGTGACAGCGTCTGCCTTAATGAGAAACTTGAAGTACTGACAGATAAGTCACAGTGATTAACAGTTTGAGAGTATATAATAATAATAATAATTTATTTATGCCCAACAGATAATAATTATTACATTCCAATTTTAGGACAAATGGGTAATAAAAAAGACAACAGTATGTTATTAAAAATAAAATAACAATTGTAGTTCAAATATTATGTAATAACAATAATAAAATAATATTAAGATTTCATAAACAGTTTACAATTCAAAAGAAATTTTCGGCAGTACTTATAAGCGTTTTTAGAGAACAGTAATATATTACAAAGATGGCCAATGTCGTGATTATACTGCATAACATATATAGGTGATTTTAACATTATGTTTGTACGATCTCTGGGGCAAAGAAATGTTTGTGATGTTAAAGTTAAGTCTAGGTACAAGAAATGTTATAAAACTAAGCAGAGCCGATGCGTCCGCATAGTTATGTAAAAGTTTGTGCAAAAATATTTGTGATGAAATAACTCTTCTTTTTTTAAGAGAATACATATGAAAATGCTCCAATAAATGATCGTGGTCAAACCCTTGTCGTGGATAGATTCTATAGAGCTTATACCACAGATATTACAAAAAACGGCGCTGAATAGATTCTATTAAATTAATCTGATTATTATAATATGGATACCATATTAGTGATCCATACTCTAATTTCGTTCTTATAAGGGAAAAGTATAACGTTTTTAAAACATCTGTGTCAGTGAACTCTCTAGTGTTTCTTATAATAAACCCCAGCATTTTGAGCTAATGTTATGTGATCTATATGCTCGTTAAAAGTAAGAATGCTATCGAAATATATATGTATAAGAACCGCGTTATTAATATAGTAATCAAACTTTATTGAGTGGGTTTTTCTAGTAAAAGTACATACGTTACATTTGTTTATGTTTAATAAGAGTTTATTTAATAGGCACCATTCATACAATAAACTAATAATAATAATAGTAATAATAATAATAATAAATTCTTTATTTGCCCAACAGATAGCCATTTACAGGACAAAATACAATAGTATAAACAAAATAAACTATTTTTCACTTAAATACAATTTACAATAATCAATTAGTTCATTAAGACTACAAACATTAATATTACAAACGTTAGAGATATTGTTAAAGTTATTTGACATAACTTGGACAGGAGATTTTAGATGCACATTAGTCCTGGAATGAGTATGCTTGAATGTTAAAGTGCAGCGACAACTAATTCTAGGTACATGAAGTTGAAATACTAAAAGTAACTCTAATGCATCTACTTTATTATTCAGCAGTTTGTAAAGTAGAATTAGGCTTGAAACAAATCTTCTGTCTGACAATGATTGTATGTTAAATTTTTCCAACAAAAAACGATTGTCAATACCTCTTTCTGGATAACGGTTTTCTAATTTTAAGTACAGATATTTTAAAAATCGTCTTTGAACTGACTCTAACTTAAAAACATATACATTATAAATGGGGTACCACACTATGGAACCATATTCCAGTTTGTATCTAACTAATGAAAGAAATAGACATTTAATTGTTTGGATATTTGAAAAAGATTTACAGTTACGTATAATAAAACCTAATGTACGAATGGCTGAGTTGCATGTGTAAGCTATGTGTTCGTTAAGCTGATGTTGTAGTGTTAGACAGTCGCTAGAATCTTTAATGCTACTAAATATTTTTAAGTCGTCTGCAAATAGTAAATGATTACTTGATAAAATTTTTGAAAGATCATTAATAAAAAGAATGAACAAGAGGGGACCAAGGTTTGACCCTTGTGGAACACCTGAGGTTGCAAACAATGTTTTAGAGCTAAATCCGTTGTAAGCCACATATTGAGGTCTGTTTAGCAGGTATGATTTAATTAGTTTCGTTAAATTTAAGCTAAAGCCAACTTTATCTAATTTCTGCAACAAAATATTATGGTCCACTTTGTCGAATGCCTTTGAAAAGTCCGTGTAAACCACGTCAACCTGTTCGCGGACATAAAAACTGTGTAAATTCCATAAGATTGGTTGATGTAGATCGTTATTAACAAAGCCATTTTGTTGTGGAGCGATCATTAAACTTATTTGTGGATAGGCATGGCTATACACAGACATTTCAAAGACTTTTGCAAAAGTATTCAAGAGCACTATGGGCCTGTAGTTATTTATTTCAAATTTTGAGCCCGACTTAAATATTGGACAAACTTAAGCAATCTTCCACACCTCAGGAAATATACCAGTTGAGATAATTGAGTTGAGTTGTGAGCTAAAAGAATTACTCCTCCGCGGGTTGTGCTGGTTGGTTAAAAATTTCTATCGCTGCGAAAAACAATGTAGTTGGAAGAAAACATTTTAGAGGGTGTTAACCATGTCTCAACAACAATGATATCCTATTCAATATCACTAACAGAGCAGTATAGTTCTGAAATTTTTGTGTTTAGACCTTTTAGACATTTTAAAAATAAACCTTAAAACTAAAATTCTGTAATTCCTTGGGCATTGCTAGTTTAAATTAATTATTTGTGGTATTCCTCGTACATATTTAATTTTCTCCTTTAGACACTGTCATTAAGTTCTGTTTTAAGAGAGTTATAAAAATTTATTTGACGAGGAGTGCGGTCTGGCGATATTCCCACTGAAGAATAAGAGTAGTGGCTTTTGAGTTCACTTGCTTTTTTTTATTAGACTATGAACTGAATTTTCGTCTTGGAGTTTTAACTTAATTGGCCTAGGGGTTGTTCTCGTGTGATCGTATTTATTCAATCTAATCGGTTTGGCACCAGTTAATTGCATCGTAGGTAAAAGAAAGTTTATGAGACCAAGTTCGAGTCGTGATTTGTTCTTTCAGTATTGGATTTACTATCACTTTCCGAAACTCCATAGATTATAACGTTGCATTTTCTTAAATTCCTCTCATTTACCTCCTGAACTATTTTTTTAAACTCCGAGATACTAATTGATTTGGTTTCTTGAACAGTTTGCTTCAAAGATTTAACTTCCGAAGTTAACTTTGATATTGTTTCTTTTAAATCATTAATAACTTCGACCAATTAGTTTTGGCATGACGCAGTTGATTGGTTTTGGGTGGCATTTTTACCTATTACTTTATCAACCTATTAAAGTGCTTCTACTTACCTAGTTCAGCAGAATTGCATCCAATAATAAGTAAGAAAATGAATAGGGCTTGGTGGCACACACTAGAGGACACCAGACTGACAAGCGGCGGATCGCGGTTCCAATCCGGCAGCGTGAATTTTCTTAAAAAATTTTGCCCAATATAAAGCTGACTCAGCAGTTGGTATAGGTTTACATTGTTCATGAATAATAAGTAAAGAACAGGATTTTTGGATTGGATTTATATTTAAATTTGGCTTGGATCTGCTGTATTATGTTGTATTATCAGGATTTGTCTGGGTTGAGGTGGTGGGATTAGCCTGGATCGATGATTCCTAGGATGCAACTGTACAGTCTTCGATTATTAGGATCGTAGTAAATTTGTTATTGTATCCACCTACCTGGGAGTAAATCTGGATGCTAAACTCCTATGGCGTTAACACATAGAAACCTCTACCCAAAGAATGAAGGCGGCTAAAATAACCCTTGGACCACTGACTTCTAGCACCGCCCTATCACTCAAAATCAGCATCATCAGCATGTTTTGCTACTTCGTTCCACGCCAATAGAATAGGATTCTCACAGAGAATATAGCGAAATATTAACATAAACATCGACATTTCTGTCCCGGCTAAATACACTAAACTAGTCTTATAAGCAGCAGCCAACAGGCGATTTGTAGAGGAACCTGCAGTGTTCTCGATATCCTTAACACGTTCGCGGACACGAACGAAAAATGGTGACTGCGGAAAACGCATGACAATATTTGATGAGCTAGAAAAGCTAGGGTCATTTTAAAAATACGTATATGTTGCAAAAATGGTGGGGATAAATTTTTTATGAAAAAAACAGCCAGCGGCATTTACCGTCTTGTCCCAGACCGAGCGGAAAATTGGCATGTTGGGACAAAGACGGCGAAGGCCGTCGAATAATTTAAGCACAAAAAACCTTTATTTATATGAAAGTAAATCGAAATAAATTATAGTAACTAGTTCTTCGACTTATGATACTCTTCAAAACATGGCACTACACATAGAGAAGGTTTTTCGGGGCAGGTTTTGCATAAAAACTTGGTCTCTTTTCGTTTTTTCTGCGTTGCACAGTGTCTACATCTCATATGGTGACTCTTTTGAGGATTTTTAGCATTAGGAATTGTATCTAGGAAATGCATGGCATGATGCTGAAGTGGTTCATCTCTCCTTTCTTGGTGAAGCGGCTCATCATTGCGCTTTCTTTTTCCTCCACGAATGGGCCCAGAATGAACTAAATTTCTACCATCAACAATTGTATTGGATATGCCTAGGTAGTGTTTTATAAC